TTATGTTCCACTTTGGCTTGTTTTGCATGCTTTATGTAATATGCACATTTGTTCGATGGAAATTACTATTACGGGTATTCTTCGGAATCTCACCCTCCAATTTATGAAGAATAGTGAAGGCTAGTAGCTCGAAGGACAAGGAGGTTGTTTAAGAAGAAAATGGGCTGGTTGAAGAGCAAAGATACCTGTTATAATTCTGTAAATTGTATAGCAAAATATATGGGCAAGTAACTTCACTTGCTTTATGTAAATATTATTTTATATCCTTCATAAGTGGAAGAGCACTACCAGGTGCAGGTATGTGCAGTCAACCAAAATGGTTGCTATATTTTTAATATAATATTATAAGATTGTACAGTATGAAATTATTTTAGGTGATAATAGATTAAGTTGAAAGCAAGGTTGATAGTGGATCACTCTTTAATTATTCTAAAGGTTTGCAATTTTTGATCAATGAATTTCAATGTTAAAAAGAAAAAAAATTCCCTATCTTTTTCCTAGGTCGGAAACCTGGCATTAGTGATTTCACAGACATTAAAATGATCCTATTAATATATAAAAGTTAGGTGTTGTAGCCGGTTGGCTTTTAGCTAACTCTAGCTTGCCATGGGGATTGACGACCTGTCAACTGTTCAACTATTATTTACTTTTTAAGAAAAAAATTGATTTTTTCTTTATATAATGATATAGGTATTTTTTTAAAAATTTTTTTAAATATGATATAAAATATAATAACATAATTATAATAATTAATAAAATAAGAAATAAAAAAATAGATACAGGTTAGCCCGCGGGTTGGTTGGTTAACCTGAGGTGGGTTGTGGGTATTGGCATTGAAAATGCTAGTTTGTTATTGAGTTGACTTTTAGTCAACACTAACTTGTCATTTCTTTGCGGATTGACGAGTTAGACCTATATTACCAGCTCTACACACAACCATGTAATTCTGCACAAGTAAATTTAAAATGATGAAATTTCCATGAGTCAAGTTAATTTGTTACGCTAGGAGGAGTGGAAACGGAAAACACACCAAGAAAAGATATTCTTTTATTTAAATAATTTTTATCATTATTTTGTTGTAGTATTATTATTTAGACTTGTTCTTATTCAACGTTTTTGCCTTTTTTTTTTAATTTTGAAAATAGTTATGTGGAAGTTTCACAGGAAAAGTATGTACAAAACTATAAATAAATATTTTTTTTACCAGCAAATAAATTTAAACATTATTTACCAGGCATATTGAACGATGTTATATATAAGAATATTTTAAATTAATTTATTATTTTTTTGGTGAAAATACTTTTGCAATTAATATCAATGTAATGTAATTTTTGTCAATTAGCAATGAGCTAGTCAATTCCAAATACCGTAGCCAAAACGCTACTTCCTACTTGCATAAACACACAACTAATCACACCCCACTTTGCCAAAACGCTACTTCAGCTTTGGAGTATTGCTACTAGAGATTGTCAGTGGCAAGAAAAATGTCAGTTTTGTTAAATCTGAACATTCAATCAACCTCATCGGACATGTAAGTATACATAACATTCTTCCATCCAATATGCATCTCTACATGCAAGTTCAATGTTTGTTGATTAATATACACTGAATATGAGCTTGTTTTAGGCATGGAAGTTATGGAATGAGGAAAAAGCCTTAGAGCTAGCAGATCCCTCACTAAGGGGAACATGGAATGCTGATGAATTATTGAGATGCATTCATATTGGTCTCTTATGTGTGCAAGATCAAGCTAAAGATCGACCTGATATGGTAGATGTGGTTTCTTATCTGTCAAATGAAACCATTTTATTAGCTGAACCTAAGCAACCAGCCTTTTTCATTAATGCAAGAGAAAAAAGTGCCACATCATTTACTAATGTCGCAGAAAATTGTTCTGCGTGTAATGTGACAATTTCAGATTTTAACGGCAGATAATATATGTAAATCTTCCCAACTGTATGTTAACTGTTAGACATGTTAATTTGGAAAATACATCGTCAATTTCCTAATCTAATTTTCATGTCTGATTGTGTCTTCATAGTAAGTTATACATTATATCAATGTTAAATGAAATGGGTAGTGTAAATTTGTTGTTTTGACGTGATAATTAATTAAATTATCCTCTTAATATATAATTTTTGAAAGAGAATTGGTTGGCAAAAAAAAAAGAAAGAAAGAAAGAGAGCAGTAGCGCTACAAGTAACAATCATCTTTTATTTCATTGCCAGTCGTTCTTAAACACTACGGATATGATCACATCAAACTAAAAGGCCTAACCATATTATGTACAAAAAGATTTTCCGTTTAAGCAATGACAGTGCTTTCAAGCTTATAGTATATATAAGCCTTAACTTCTGGCTTGAAAAAAAATATAATATCAAATGAACTCTGTAAACCACGTGAAATTTTGTATACTCAATAGTCAACCATAATACTAAACTCGGTAGACATACAAGATAATTTATAATTTGAATTAGAAAAAGCAATAAATTCATAAATATATTCCATGTGTTATTTAAAACCGTGTAATGAAAATGAGTTTTGAAATTCCAAGGGATTGGCCTGAAATTTCAATGGATTCAACGATTGGTATAGTACATCTGAATTAGACTCTTCCCAAATACCAATGCAAAATTCGTGTATAATTAACATAAATTAGTAAAAGGAAATATATATATATATATATATCACAATCAATAAAAAATTTATGGTTCTCGTACATCCTTCGAGCGGAAGTTTTTGTTTAGAAGTTGGGGAGAAAGAACATTTCCTTGCACGCGTCTTTTTTTTTTTTTTTTTTTTGGGATATATTGAGATTCTTCAAAGGCGAAACTGAGCTCAGAGTCTTCAATCCTCACTAAGATTTTTATTTCAAATTTTATGACAAGTTGGAAACGATCAAACATTCAGTGGTCAATTAAATTTTATTTCTTGTATTTTATGATAACGTTACCCCTTTGTTTTTTTCTATTTTTATGAGCACCACAAACACCTAAAAAGGCGTACGAAAATTCAAAGTTGGAATATTTCGCTCTAGTGAAATATGACGGATAGAGAGAGATACTTGGGGCAAAAGGGATAGATGGAAAACTACAAGTGTTAATCTTGTGTTAATATAAACAAAACATGATTACGTTCCATGTGTTAATCTTGTCTATATAGTATATAAGCACAAGAACAAATAATAATGAAGTCAATTTTCCTTGAGGTTGATTAATTAGCTTATTATTTAAGGCTTGTGAGCTCAATTTACCCGTCATATATAGAAGCTGGTGAATATTCGAAGTTGATGTGTTTATTTTGGAAATTATTGTGTGGAAAGCTAGAGGTGTATTATGGCATTATTTGTGGTAACTGAACATCTATATTGGAAAATGTGCATTATTCTGAAGGGCCCGTTGTGGACGTTGCCTCTGGGGAAAATGAAAACACAGTTGATGGAGGGATTAGGGTGTTGAGGATGAGAGTTCAAGAACAGTCACAACGTGACGATGATTCTTTTTGATGTAGCTTAAGCTACTTTGATGTAAGTGAAAAGTATTAATCGATTGACTGAAATATGAAATTAGTAATTAGTCCGCAAATAAAGCAAATAAGAGATATAAAGTGAGAGAAACGCAGTAAAAACTTGTTCATCCCATTCTATGGATATATGTGTGTATATAAGTGAGCTTGATACCATATCTTAATCTAAAATCTGAAGTTTATATCTCATTTATAGATATATATATATATATATATAATAAATCGAACTTTATTTGATGTGAAAGTTCTTATATCAAGTAAAGTAAGCACTTGACATCCGAACAATATTTTCTTGGAAGTTTTGAGTCCATTACTGACAATATTGACAATATAAACGAACTTACTCATACTGAAAATGCCACAAACACCAACACTTCACAAATATGTGAATCTTTAGGCTAATATAGACCGTATTCATACTTGAAAGCCTAGGGTTGTCAAAAGCCATAAAAAGGAAGGGGGAAAGAAAGAAAACCAAAAAATAAGAAGCATAGGTCAAATTTGAAACCATTCGTATTTTATTACACATTTTCTTTTGTTGCATGACAGGAATAGTATAGGTAGTTAATTAATGTCTATAAATATTAGCTTCCAAGTGTTAAAAGACTTAAACTTTCTACATACATATATAGGTACACAAGAACAAAGATTCGAAGTCGTTCCCTGTATTAAGGATCGACGGTCTGGAGATTATATAGACTAGCTAGAGAAAATAATCCGAGTCCACTCGAAACACATCGTGGAATTTTCATCGGTCACACTTAAGCCATTGAATTTGGCTGGCGAATATTCTGGGTTGATGTATTCTTACGGGAAAATTGCAAGAAACTGCAACTATCAAAATTAAAGGGGAAAGCTACAGCAGTCAATTATGAAGGACCACAAAGTCGTCTCTAGTGGCACTGTGTTTGTGTTGACTGGGCAATTCGACGTTCCAGTCATGTCAGTCATAAAGCTTTTCTTTTCTTTTCTTTTCTTTTTTTAACTCTCTTTTTTCTTGGGGGAATAAAAAGACAACCCTAATCTTGAACAAAGCATCGTAACCACAAGAGTTTGCTTCGTTTACTTGGACCAAGTCAACCCATATGCATGCATGGCTACCATTATAACCAAATCAAGTCAATTTGTTTAGGGTTAATCAACACGGCATATGGATTCCAAAAACAAGCGCTAGCAACTAAAGGATCCAAGTGACCAGACATCCATTGGCCAAGTCAATTTGTTTTCGATCGTTTGTCCCCTTTTGAAGAGAGATGTTGTCTCAATTAGCATTTAAGAACTTGATAGGATATTTGAAAGCTTCAAAACCCCGCAAAGAGGTTCATTGATTTTCTTTGGTCAGCGAAAAGGAAAATATAAGGCCCATTTTAGGTGTTGCGTATTCCATTATTCATGCACAAGTGACTTGATTGTATACATATACCCCCCCCCCAATCCACACCCACCCTCATAAACACAATCAAAGACAGACTCATACTATTCAATGTAGAGCTCATGTTTGGTTTCAGTAAACTTGCCTGAATTTTTAAGCTTCTAGCGAGTTCATCTCTATATTGTTCTTTTTCTACGTCTTTTACTAAGTTGTTCATCTTCTGTGTGTGTTGACCATGAGTGATAACTGATGAATTAGAGCTAACTTCCTTATACATATATTTGCAGATCAGATCAAATGGAGGGACCAAAATTGAATATGCTTTTAGGCCTGTGTCTCGTTTTCATCAAACTCCTGTTTCATGTTGGCAGCACAGTGGGAGATGGTCCGAGGGAATTCACCACAAACGACAAGAATTCCGGTAAATTAGCTAATGCTTTTTACATAGTTTTTAATGATCAGTGAAGTCATTCACATGCCTTTATAAACCTGATTTTTCACGTAAGTTATAATTAAATTACATCAAGAATCCATATCCCCTCCCTATCCTGTCAAGCCTCTTGACTCTTCCATCTTCATCCAATTCTTCATCTTCACTCACCCTTCTTCTTCTTAGTACCCTGTCTCCTTCACACACAGCCACAACTTCCAGCTGCATCTCATCCCATATTTTCACGTCCTCTTGCATATCAGGAGTCAACTTTGCAAGCAGATTTGCATATGAAGCTTCAGATCATACCTTCAATGAGTTTATTTCGATCAATTAAACATCTGCAAAACAGGTCGATCATGGTCTCTGTTCTTCTTCTTTGCCTCAATCGTCGATCCTCTCTCACACTTTCTCTTAGCTTGTTCAACTAGTTACGACGTCGATCACTCTCTTCCCTTGGAATCGGCGGCCTTTAGACCGACGGTGGGTCCTCCATTGGCGAAGGCAAGATGCGACACATAAGAACATGGGGAGCAGTGAGAGAAGAAATCAAAATATGAAGAAGATAGTAATTAGATCTGAAAAGGGAAGCTCTGTTGAAGCTTCTTTCTCGTTCTATGGCTCCTATCACAGATCTGAACTGGGAATATTTTTTATTACGCATTGTTTGCATTAACGGACGTTTTCATGTCTGTTAGTAAAAGGGTGAAATGTTCCATTTTTATTAGTTTTGGAGCAAAATTACACAAAGAAATAGTTTAGGGTGCTAGATACACCTCGAAAAATAGTTTGAGGTTTTGAGTGTATCTTTACTCTAAATTTAATTAAAACATTACTCATTATATTGTTATTTTTGGACTACTTTTGCTTAGGATTCATCAGCGTCGATTGCGGTGCACCAAATGATTACTTAGACAGGGCGACGGGCATATGGTATCAGACAGATACAAACATTGTAAAAACTGGTACAATTTCTAAGGTTCTCCCGAGCGTAAACGTTGATTATTCTTACTTTGGGGGACTTCTAAAGACGTTGAGAAGCTTTCCAGAAGGAATAAGGAATTGCTACACTCTCAAACCAAAACAAGGCAAGCACCATGCTTATCTAATTAGAGCTTATTTTACATATGGAAATTATGACGGCAAAAATCAAACTCCAACCTTCGACTTGTACGTTGGCGTCAATCGTTGGGAGACTATTACTGTGGAAAGACGTTATTACATTGCTGAGATTATTCATACTCCCACAATAGACACAATTCATGTGTGCCTTGTGAAAACTGTGGTTGGAGTACCTTTCATTTCTGCATTGGAGCTTCGACCTCTTAGCAATTCTGTATACCAAACTCCATTACCTTCTCAATCACTTTTAATCAGCCGAGGTCGCTTTGATGTTGCCTCCACCAGTTCCGCCATACACAGCAGGTCACTCCTACTTCCCTCTTTTTCTTACTATCTCTTTATTTCTGCATGATATTCGTTGACTCCAAACTGGGATTGTCTTTTCAAATTATATTTGATAGTTCCTTTCTTTTTATAAACACTAAAGTACATAACTTTATCACTACTGGTCAGATAAGCATTTACGGCATCATATCAATCAAGTAAGATTAGTGGAAAAACTAATTTGTTTAGGAGGAGACTAGGTTTCTCAATTTTTGATTTGGAGGATCAAGCAATAAATTTTGTTATCATGCATGTACCTAGATTATAATTTATTATAACAAGAGAAATCCTCCAAAAATTCTTGGAATATTAAAGAAGTATAAAAAATAGGATGCAATCTAATTAAAGCTAATGAATACTAAGGTTTGAGCTCTATATGGAAGAAAAAACGTTGAAAATTTTTTTTCACTTCAATTAAGGCGACTTCGAATCTAGATAAGTCATCATTAGTACTTAATTATAAATAATCAATATTCTAAATGGTTCGTCGAAAAAAGTTAAATGAATAGTAATATATATGTCTCATAAATTTTCATAGGACTGTAATAAAAAAATTCCATGCACAGCCACCGCCAATCTCTCGTTGTATGGAGAAGTAATAATGACAAGAAATAACTATGTTTACATATATATATATATATATATATTTGAGTGTGTGTGTATGTTTGCATGCAAGTGCAGGTACAAGGATGACATCTATGATCGAATGTGGCGCGAAATCGATTTGTCATGGGGTTGGTACCAGATTAATGGGGCTGTAGGTATTGATCCTTCAATCCCAAACAATGATTATGAGTTGCCGTCAGAAGTTCTGAAATCTGCAGCCCAATCATCCAGTCTCTCCTATGGATTAAAATTTGACTATGAGTCTGGATGGAAAGACCCCGACAGGTCTTCTGAATATTACGTCTATTTTCACTTTTGTGAAATTCAGCAACTTCCCCCGGACCACAAAAGAATACTGAGTACTATTATTACTGTTGATGATGAATCCGTTTACACCCAAACTATAGTTCTTGAATACTTGGAACCACAAACCATTTCTCCTAAAATTAAAAATCAAGGTTTGGTTCTTGTTAACATCACCGCAACATCAGAATCCGATGCTCCTCCAATCCTTAATGCTTTTGAGGTTTACCGGTTCATATCACCTCTACCTTCCCCAACAGACCAAACAGATGGTACAAATTTCATTTGTTCATTCCTTATCCAACCATTTCCAACGTAATTCCTTGAAAACGTTATTTTTTTCCATGTTTTGTTTTGTCTTCTAAGACCTTAATTACTTATTATTCGTAATAATAGTGGATGCTATCATGGGCATTAAAAATACATACAGCATCTCCAATCTAGATTGGCAAGGAGACCCATGTGTCCCAAAACTCGCTTGGGTTGGACTAAGCTGCACTTCTGGTATGAATGGTAATGATGCAAGGATCAGCTCAGTGTAAGTCATTTACATCTCAATTAATTTAATGCCATTGGATCTATACGCATTACCCTTGTTTTTATTAATCATAAGCATCCTTAGCCACGGTGTAAATTTGTGAAGCATGTCACTCTATATGTGTTCTTGACGTTTGATACTCAAATGGAAAAATCATATAGTTCAATTTTACGTTTCCCAAGGTCATTAATTGGCTATTATTTAAGCTATAACCATCCAAAACTTCATATCACTTGCCTTTAGTTGATGTTAAAGTTTATGACTAGCTATTGAAAGCCTGATTCACTCAAGCAGGAACCTAAGTGCGACCAACTTGACGGGGCAAATAGCTACTTCATTTTCACAACTGACAGAATTAGAGTACTTGTAAGCGTATATAGAGTGATTTAATAATGAAAAATCAGTTTCAGCAAAAATATTTCATTAACATGTGAATTACTGCTTTGTTTCAGAGATTTATCATTCAATGACTTGTCAGGTTCGATACCAGAATTTCTAGCTTTCCTGCCGAATTTAAGAGTTCTGTAAGTTACGTTGAGCACCACATAAGTAGTATCTATACCTTTATATATTCAGGCTCAATAAGAAGTAAATATATTTCACAATATTTTGTAGTAATTTACGTGGTAACAAGCTCGTGGGTTCCATTCCCAAGTCTCTTGAAGAAAAGTCACATGCAGCTTTGCAATTGAGGTTTTTCTTCAGTATATATTTCTGCTAGTTCCATTGTAACTACCCTTGTGTGAATCAAAATTAACAGCAATGTATCTTATGTGTCCCTTAGTTTGGCAGATAATCCTGACCTTTGTCTTGGGCATCGATGCAAAAAGCATAAGTTTGTTATTCCACTTGCTGCTTCTGTTTCTGCTTTGGCCGCAATCTTTCTGGTTTCTTTAGGAGTTTGGATCTGCAAACCCAAGAAACTAAAAGGTACATATAAAATTATTCTCATTATTGAGCATCGCTTAAGAGCCATAGCAAACATTTCTTAAGAATTTTATGCGACTGTATATTTTGTCATTGATTAGAATCTCACTCTCATTCTTCGTCCATTCTTTGCTTTGTGCTAAAAGCATCTGAAAGTTGGTGTAACGTAGGCCCCAAAAATTTAAGAAGTAGCGAGCTCAGAATATGAGATACTTACATCCCTTAAACCTAAAATATACTACTCAGGTCTTTAATATAAAACCAGTTAACTAATTTAAAAAGATTAAAGAAGTTACTAAATTACTTTAAGGTATTTATATTTATCTTGTTTTCTAATTAATTTGCCTCACTTATAAATTGAAATATAATCTAATAATATATAGGAGCATTTTAGAGAGATTACGTAACATATGCTATAATTAAATAATTTAATAATTTTTTTAATCTTTTTAAATTAGTTAACTAAGTCTTATATTAAGAATATGTGCATGATAAAATTTCCCACACAAATATGTACGTGCATACAGGGAAAGGGGCCTCTCCGATCTAAAGTCTTTGGATATTTTAAGCTTCTCATAGAAATTTTGGCAAAATTTTCCTATAAATGGGACCTCTCAAAAATTCTATAATCACAATATCAGCAACATTTAGTCGGGGGGGAGGGGGGGAAGCTTCACCCCATACTGATAGATATAAGAAACATTCCAGGAGCACCTAAATAACAAAAATAAATTCAGAAGTTTATATTATAAACTTCTGATTTTATTTATAAGTCAATTTTAACATATTTTACATAAACTAAAAAACATTAAATTTCCTCAACTTTGCCTTAAAATTTAATTACTTTTTACCTTTATTCCTATTTAATATACATTATACCTCATGAGAATAAAATTATAATAATAATTAAAGTATAATTATACATTTATATAAAAAAATTCAACGTTGTGATTTATAAATAGGAAAAAAATTCCTTCTATCAACCACAAGAGTATTAAAAAGGAATCTTTTACATTAATGATGCTTCAACTTCAAGACAGCAATAGATGCCTTCAATGATCAATTGGAGGAGCACGGTGAACTACACAATCTAGAGCCAGATTTTTTTTTCCCCTAGTGAATATTGTCTAATTAAGAAATGGTGAAATACCGAAAGAAATAAATGAAGCAA